CTACTCTACTGATTTCGTCTTGTTGTTAGACTGAATTAGTGTTGTGGAATAATGAATCTAATACGTCGTTTATAAAGCATTTACAAATCATGTGATTACAACATGGACGCATAGATGTATAAGAGCTATTATGCTGACTGTATTCACCTTTATTCAGAAATATTGTAAAGCAATGCAATGAAATCTAATGATGAAGCTGGAGAACATTTATTAGACGTCTAATAAAGCATGTTATTAAATCAATTGAAAACAGTCAAATTAAAGCGACAAAGTATGTGCAAATTACACTTATTCAGTTTGTTATTAGATCAAACTTCTGGTTCTGAATCAGGAAGATAGTCAACGTTTATAAAGCTTTTAATAAGTAAATTAATCAGATCAGAGCAAACGGCGGAATAAAGGCGCATCTATCGATCTCAATAAGCTCTTTTCAGCACATAATTCGACATCCTGTTTTATTCAGCATTGTACACTGTTATACAGCATTTATTCAATGTGTATGCTCATTATTTGTGTCTTTGAATTATTTGTTGGGAGGAGCTTTAGCTGGGTGGACACTGATATTTTGCGGCCTTCCAACCTGTCGCAGACAGCAGTTCAACCCCTGACCATGAGCAGACGGGCCGAGACTCTTGCGAGTGCCCAATAATTGAACCGCAGAATATGGGATTGTCCGTTCCGATTTGCTGATCCAGCTGCCTACACGTCATCATCATCTTCCAAAGGCTTTAAGCCTGTACTACCATCGGCTCTTTTCACGGCCACCAAGATTTTCCAAAAGAGTTAAATTTCTGAACATGTCTGAACTAAAATTCATATCAAAAGGTTCTTTTCAGGGCAATCATAGTCATACTAAAGAGTATACAAAGAGAGAACCCTGCTCGAATTCCTATTTATTCCAAGACAAAACACAAGCTCCTGCTGCAGTAAACAAATAGAATTTATTATACAAGATCACGTAGTCCTACGTCACCATTGCGTACAACCAACCGCTGAAAAATAAAGATTTTAAATTGGCTCACTACTTGACTAGCCTATTGGTCCAAAGCAAAAAAAAGCATTCTAGTCGAAATTCTAGTACTACACTATGTTTGTTTTGATTTGCTATGAAAATTTGACAGTTAAAATGAGGGGTTCGTGGATTTTCCTATGTTTCGAGGGGTGTATCGATTAGCTTGGGACCGAAGAGAGTACCAAAGCTGAGCCTTCTGGTCTTAGAGTTACCTCTATGCTGTTAGTGTGTTTGAATTCATATCAGATGATTGATCTAGTGAATGTAACAAAAGTCAGCATGTCGAGTCTATTAGTTGCGATTTATGATGCAAAAAAGGAAAAAAAGAACACTTATTTTCAGCTAGTCTTGACAAAAATCCATTTATATCTCGCTAGACTTATTACGTAGAAACTTAGTGTCTTGAGCAATGATTCATAGATAGATAGTTCTACAAGTTTACCGAAGACATAATCATTTTATCTTGCGATTACAGACAGTTAGTTTTTCTAAGTATAATACTACCTGCATAAAAATTTATAAGGATATTATAAGAATCAAAATAACATATCAATAAGCTTCTTCAAAGACTCCTAAACGGTGAAACATCGAGAAATCGTCTTTTTTCAGAATGGTCTTATACTCATCCTCAACCAACTGCTCAAACTGATGACATTGGTATTTCTGCCGCGTGGAAATAGAGTAAAGAGTCGTGACTTGTCCGAGATGAGACTTGAACTCGTGAATTTGGCGTGAGATGTATGTATGTTAACCACTACGCTGAGGCCGTCCTACCCATAGTGCAATCACAGACAAACAGACATAACACTCGCAAGTTGTTCATCGAACAAGCATTTAACGGTCAATTTAAAAGTATCGTAGTTGGTAGTACCGACACCTGTGGCACGCATAGTCAATTCCCTTGCGTTTGACGTTTACACACTTCCGCCATCTGTTCAGCGTACTACCGATTACAGTATACTCAACACATGGTGAAAGTGTTTTAACGACGATGTTTTATTTTGAAAAATATCAATGAGTTATATCTGTTTGTCTGTGGTGCAATGGTCAGAATGGTACAGAAAATCTTTATCGCTGCATGGAGAAGAACATCAGGAAATGCTCTGATCTGCACTTCGTCCGCAAGAGAACCGTCCCGGAAGAAACAAAAAGTGAAAACCGTGGCGACAGGGTGGACAAATGTATAAATGCTGTGACTTCTAAGGTTCTGTAAACATTATTGTTGGCATTTAGATTTTGTTTAATACAGCCACCGTATGTTGGAGTTTTTCGGTGGATTAATTAGGCGAGATCAACACGGCTATTCTCAATCGTAGCTATTCTCAATAATATTGAGGATTCCGCACGCACACACTGCAATATAAGTTCACTTAATATTCACCTGAAAAGGTACGTAGATATTTTCCATCGTTCTTTTCAGGTGAGAATTACGTATTTTAGGAATGGAAATCTGTTACATGTGATATAGAAATCATGTGATTTTCACGTAAATGTTATAGGACATACCGATGATCTTCTAATAGGTTTCACTTAAAAGCTACGTGAATTTTTAAGTAAATGTAACTGGATTTTATAGTAATATTCAAGTGAAAAGTTGGTGGATTTTATGTCTTTTTAATTTAACTATTTTATTTAATCTACCATAAACAATGCATTCAAGTTCAGGCAGACCTGAAAAAAAAACATTCACCGATATGCGATATTGTTCAATTACAGATAGGTAGATAGTTTCGTCCACAAATTTAGTTTATTTTATTTTTATTATATTACGATTCAACTCTATCTAGTAGATTTTCACTTTCACTAATCAGGTTTTTGTTGCTGTGCTTTCCTTGCTGTTCAATGAGCTTATGATCGCTATTTTCTGTATAAAATAATGGAATCAGGAAGTTAACTATTGGTGTATTGATATCATCAAATATCGATACACACATTTCGTTTTCTAACCCCCATTCGACTTCAGTTTGTCGAAAGAAATCTTGTCGATTGAGATCGTGAGGAGCTCATACAATCCTATTCCACATTCTGCAGTATAATTTTGGTTGTAATAAATAAGAATTAAATTATTAATATTATACTCTCACTTTCAAAACTTCAAGTACGATCTATGGGTATTTGAAATTGTCCTAACACTTGTTTTTGTCGACATATTGCACTTATGAATGAGCAAAGAAAATTTTCGCACTGATCTCGTAAAATCTACTTGAATTTCACGTAACTATTACCAGTATGACACTTCAACTCAATAAATCAATCCAGTGCAATAAATTACCATGCCATTGAGTATTGTGTGCAGCACGTAATTGTTACTTTATTACTATCTTTGAGAAGTAACCTGAATTTTGAGGTGAAATTTACGTTTCTTGTTGGTTCAGTGACAAACGCCTTTGAGTAGGCAAATCCATTGCATGCTCAGAAATCGCACTTAGGGTAAACAAGGCTACATTCCCATCCCAGTCGGCGCCGCCGGGATGTTCTGAGGCATAACATCTCTGATCACGCCTTCCTTCGGATGGGAAGTAAAGCCGTTGGTCCCCGGTTCATGAGTTGATGGGTCGATAGGTAGGGTCCAGGTGTGGGAGCTGCCTTCCTGGCACGTCGGTAGCATTGGTGCTCAGCACGGAAAACAAGATCGACGGAAAAAACAAACCAAAGGAAAAAAAAAGGCTACATTCCTATAGGGGGCGATACAAATACGACGTCCACACTAGAGATGGTGTGACGGTGCGTGTAATAGGTATGGGAAAAAGCATGACACGAGGGTGGTAAAAAAATCGAAAAACTTTTGGATGTCATATTAGAAAAAAACGCGGAAAACTACTCAAGAATCTTATGCCCAGATCATCATGCATCTAGGGGGAAATAAAAGACGAATTATTATGAATGGACAGGCAGGCCAACAGGCAACATTAAAAGCATTTCCCTCAAATGCTGAAACCATTCATGGAAAAAATTTACATTCATTTCGTGCATTCATTTACATCTAATTTTTTTTTATCCACAGAATTCCATAAAATTATATATGAAGCATTTGTAGGTTTTCATGATAGCTACAACTTTTGTGAATAACTTAAATCAGTATCCCTTATGCATGATGCACTAGAGCGACCCACCATTATATTTCAGTAAATGTAAATTACATTCATTGAACAACAATAACAAGCTCTGTCCGCTTTTAGTTCGTCATGCATACTCTTATACATATTTAAGTAATTCACAAAAGTTCTAGTTAATATCAAAACCTATTAAAGCTTCATACATCATTTTACCGAATTATAGTGATGAATAAAGTTAGGTAAATTAATGTTAATGAATGTAAATGATTTTCCATGCCGGCTGATACTCAAATATTTGGAACGCTCTACAGCATAACTGCAGTCATTTTTCATTCATTGGAGTGTTTAGCTCGGTGTTCGATTTTTGTCGATTAATTTCGCTAAAAAGCAGCTATCGATGGCTTTTATGTCCCTGAAAAAAAACCTACAATCTAATACAGCATCAAAACCGTCCCAACTATCGAATAGCATTAGATGGGAGTTGGTTGGGTTCCAACCAGCGAACGATGACTGCAACAGCTATCGTATGGCATTATCAATAATTGCTGCTTGGAATTTAAAATTGATTACACATAAATCAGGGTCTGGATCAGTGACCAAAATAAAAACTTTACCACGTTTATTAAATTGATTTAACACGCATTTACCACCGTGAACAATATTGCAACTTATAGAGCAAAAGACGACATCGGAAATACCGCCATGGGGATAAACAGTTGTCAAACGATACTCTGATACCTGATGTATCCTCATGCCAAAAATGAGCACTCAAGAACTTCATTTAGCCGTCATTTACCCTACAAGGTAAACCGAAGTCAGTAACATTTTACATTTTTATTCACTGTGCAGCTCAAATAAAGTATTACTATCTCTCGCTTCAAATCAACACCTTAAGATAAGTCTTTCAATCAAGAAGTAATTCATATCGGTAATTTAAATTTTTTTTTGTTTTATTTTATAGTAATTCAATGTGACAACTTCAATTCACTCGTTCACATATCCCTCTTACATTCTAAACACGGAATCCCAGATGTTCGAACCGGCAAATTGAAGCGAGACACCGCCAAGAAACAGCCAAGCGCGTAGTTTACTTCAGCTTCTTCTTTGGGCGCAGGTTGTTGGTGTGGCCACACTTCTTCTTGCGGCAGTTGGTGGCTCTTGGGTGCAGACGGGCGTAGCACTTGCGGCAAATCATTTTGTCGCAGTTGTACTTCTGGGCCAAGATACGTAGCGATGGTTCAATGATACCACCACGGAGACGCAGCACCAGATGGAGCGTGGACTCCTTCTGGATGTTGTAGTCAGACAAGGTGCGTCCATCTTCCAGCTGCTTTCCGGCGAAGATCAAACGCTGCTGATCTGGAGGGATGCCTTCCTTGTCTTGGATCTTGGCCTTCACATTCTCGATAGTGTCCGAAGGCTCGACCTCAAGGGTGATAGTCTTGCCCGTAAGGGTCTTGACGAAGATCTGCATCTTGGATCAGTCTGAAAAGAGGATCAATTAAAATCAATAAGCTGCACAATAACATTGGAAAAGGATGGAGAACATTGAGGTTAGAAAACGCTGACTAAAAACAATCCGTCGCCGTGCTATTAATAACTGGAATTACGAAAAACCTTGAGCAATTCTACCAAATTGTATTGATTACTAGAACTGCGCACTTAATTAAGCAACTTCAAATTGCAATTTTACCACAAAAATCTTCAAAATTTTAACTTACACTTTCCCAACGTGTCTCTTCCGAGATGTATTTCGGTGAAAAAGAGCTTCAAGAAATTTCAGTTGTCAAATCACACTTTCAGTTCAATGCGCACAATTTGACAACAGCACCCGCTACTGAAATTCGTAGAGTTCGCGTGCGATCCGGACACTAGGGGCCATGCAAATATTGTACAACACAAAAAAGGGGATTTTTTAAATCCCTTACACGACCAATCTCTAATAAAAATTCAATGATTATTTTTATGTGTCCCACACATGAATTTTTGCAATGTGATAAACAAATGATATTATATGTGTGTGGGACCCATAGTTCTTATGTGTACACATAAAATTCATGTGTACTTCTGAGTGGATTCTGTCTATGTGTGGACACATGAAAATCATGTGGAATTTTACATGAAAATTCACCAATAAAAAATGTTTCAAATTTAATGAGTGATGAGATTTTTCAAATTAGAGTTTAGTTTAATCATAAATCGCAAATAGACTAGGAACCAAGGTGTAAGTCACTCTGCACATTGTGCCGTGCTGTGTGTGTGCGTGTGTTTTTTTTTTTCTTTATTAGAGAGACATTCAGTCGTGGGCTGGTTCTTCATAGAAGTCGTTCACAACATTACGTGCAGGAACATCCTCTAATTCAATTTACCAGAGGAACTCAGACTAGCTTCTCGGTTCACTTATAGATCCAAACACGAAATGTAAGTTCTATAGTGGGATCAAGAGAAAAACCAGTTAATCAGACCCCATTAGTACCCTCAATTCAAACAATGCTGCAACTCACACAAAACAAACTACCCCGGCGTAGTGGTTAACATCCATGCCTCTCACGCCAAAGTCACGAGTTCAAATCTCACCCCCGGACAAGTCACGAATAACCCAAGAGTGTTAAAGTGACTATAATAAAAAAAAAAAAAAAAAAAAAAAAAAAAAAAAAAAAAAAAAAAAAAAAAAAAAAAAAAAAAAAAAAACTACAGAAGTCATATTCATCATCCAATCAGTCTCCAACAATGTTCCTCACCGTTTCCAACTCTTTCCGAGTTGGATCCAGCAGCTGATAGACCGTTGCTTTTCACATCACGGAAGGCTAGGTTTCTGCTCTACCTTTGAGGGCATTATAAATCCCTAAAACACAAGACTTTTATTATCCTATGAACACAAAACACCAACATTTAACACGCTCGCTATTCCCGCCCTAATAAAAAGTAACATAAACGGACAATAACCCAAATGATTGAACTATTCCACAAATGGTTTGGATGATACCCCGAACACGTCGTTAAGCAAATTAAACATAACATTTTTATTAGGGCGCGTCATCGTCAATCCTATTTATCCTTGCGATTTCAAACCAAAACATTCAAGGTGTCAGAAATACCGGGTTGCCGGGATGTGTATTTTACAAACAATCGCAGCTTGTTCTATAACCGGTACACCTGCGGCACACTTGCGACACACTGACAAAAAAGATGACCCAAGATTGGTATGCGGAGTGACCCTCGGAATGACCTACCCCTTGGTAGGAACTCAGCGATGACGAAACTTGCCACCTGTTTTTTGTTCCCCAGATTTTCCGTTTATTTTTCAGGAAAAAATACTCGAATATGCAAAAGTAAAGATTGGATTCTCTCAGTCTATTGGTACTACCATAGAGGTAACTCTAAGACCAGAAGGTCCCGAAGAAACGAGCTCAACTTTTTGGCTCAGCTCTGGTACTATCTTCGGTCCCAAGCTAATCGATTCACCCCTCGAAACATAGGAAAATCCACGAACCCCTTATTATCTTACAAACTTTCATAGCGAATCAAAACAAACATAGTGTAGTACTAGAATTTATACTAGAATGGGGTACGTTAGTCGATTTGCTTGGGACCAATAGGCTAGTAAAGTAGTGAGCCAATTTAAAATAGTTAGTTTCGTATTGATTGTTGGTACTACTCCAAGACTGAGTAAATTTTTTGTCAATATTCCTCATTTTCTGGCAAATTTTTGAGGTTTGTCACAGGAAAACATGAGACAACTTTACTCATGTTGGAGGCGAACCAGCCCCAGGCTGAAAGCCCCTCCCTAATGAAGATAAGTCAATCAATCAATCAATCAACTTAAATCATCGCTGAGCTCCTGCACTTTTATAAGTAAACTAAAATCTGAAATTTGGGTTGATCTCGTTTACCATGCATCCCCTCGTCGTACATTTTTCCTGTACACTGCACGGAAACCGTAAAATTTCCAATAATGACTATAACGATATTGCCTACAAAGTACGAATTTTCGAGGGACACTGGGACCACCGACAAACCGACATGACACTTAATTCTGACTTATGCCCGAAAATCGTAAACGGCCGATTTAAATGTGCATTGAACCGAACTGTCAAAATTATTGAATTTTTTTATCTAGATAAAAATAATTTGTCCAGAATAGATCAGACACGAACCAATTTTAAACTTTTGCTTGCGGGTTCATGGCTTAGCTAAATATTTCCCGCGAACATGGAGCCAGATGTCAGTAGTGTGCTTTGGTCAGAAGTTTTATTGTTTTTGCTATGGTCATTCATGTCGGTTCGTCGGCGCTGGGACTACCGGGGGGTAACCCGCATAAACCCGAACCATTACTTGACCTTACCAAAATGGTTTAAAATTGTTTACAATCCCTGCTAAACATTAACTGAAATGGTTATGGAACATAACATGAACGTCTGTGTGATAAAGTTTTAACCTTATGTATTAAGGTTTTTTGGAAGTGAACCTTACAAATAATGGGTTGTTAAGAACCATTACCATTCTAAATTCTTGTTTTCACCTTACATTTTTGGGAAAGGAATTACATTTACTTTATGATTTGAGAACTTTAATGGTAATGTTTATGGCTCGGGTTATGGTAGTCGGTAAGGTTCATGGATGGTTTTGTGACATCCATAAACTTTATGTGGAATATATCGCGAATTGGTTGCCTGTAAATTACTGATTACCAATTCACGATATATTTCACGTAAAGTAGACCGATAATACCAAAAAGTTTAAAAAGTATGCAGATTCCCGCTTTACCTTATTGAGTCCGAGCCATGATTACTTCGGCAGTACACAGCAAAAAAAATGTAATATCGATCAATGTAATTCAAGCTGATGTATGAAATAATTATGTAATAGCAAAAAGCAGATACAATATTACATCAATGGATGTAATTTTGTTCGCAAAATCGATGCACATCGTACTACGTTATATTACACAACCGATGGATTGACCTGTTTGCAGCAATTTGGATGTAATGAACGGGGTATAAGAAGCCAGTAGCCAGGGGAAACTTCTACCTACACGATGATGGTCCTGGTTTGTGTGGGCGGCCTTCGATTTGTGAGGAATGGGCTTTGGAACGGTTTGTTTACAAATGCTGATGGGCCCTTTTCTATTGTTGATCCAGTCCTCTTCCTCTTTGGTTTTTATTTCCGTGTACCCGCAACTGAAAATCGAGTTACTGGAAATATTATTTTTCGAGCGTCCACGAAACCACCTGTCAAAAGTCGGTCAGCAAAGTCATCCGATTAATTTTCACACTCAGCTGTCTCCCTTTTTCTCCGTCGCGCTTAGGAACTCGGTTGCCGTGGCCTGTATTAATTTCATCGGGATATTTTTCATCCGGAATTAATCTTCATCGGTTGCAATTGTGGCAGCTTCCTTATATAGCCGGGCAGCTACGACTGCACCTAGTTTTCCGTTTTTCGTTTGCCGCGGCATATCGTGTTAAAATCCCGGATCAAAACTGGCAGACAAAATGCCAGAACAGTTACGGAACGACGGCGGAGGGAGTGCTGATCCAGTGGCCGCCGCCGCAGTAGGTGAAGGACAACCACTAGTGGCCAACCAAGGTGACCAGGCCGCCCAAGTTGTGAGTATAAAGTTTCCCTTTCAGAAATTTTCCATTAAGTGATAACATTTCGGATTTGGTTGAAATGATGGGCGCTAATCTAAAAATAAACAGAGTCACGCTTTTAAAGTGGTTAATTAGCTTATTTTGATAAACCCATTCGTGTCTTTTCATTTATCTTCTATAGCAAGGACAAGCTCAGCAGCCAAGCAGATTGGAATCATTTTTCGCAATCACGAAATCATTGATCCTCCGGGCATTGGTCATTTACTTCATTTCTTCATTCTTCCGAAAGCCGGCACCCGACGCCCCAGTTAACAATCAGTCAGCTGTAGGTCAGAGTAAGATTACGGCATGGAATTTGTTCGAGAATGGAACCATGTTCGACATGCACGTCTACATCTCGGAGGATGCACAATACGTGGACTTCAACGATCCAAACTCTCTGATTTGGCTGCAGGAGGATCTGATGTATGGAGACTGGTACGGTGGCCGAGATGGAGACGGAATCCATACAATCAGCACGCAGATTAAGGCATCGGAGCGTCTGATGAATAATGGATCGATATATCTACATACGTACGTGACGAGGGCCGGGAAGAGCCCCAATCCGGCTGCTGGAGATGATTATGCCGGAAAGTACATGGGATATGCCACCGGAATGCTAAGTAAGTACAAAAAGATAAAGCGAGTAAAAACGCACAATTTGCTGGCCGGAGACAAGGAAAAATTTGAAAAGGAACTCGATAATGCCCTGGTGGAAGATCGGATATTAGCCCACTGGCATCCGAACTTGACTATCAATCTAGTAACAGATCAAACTAATTGGGTCAAGGGATCGGTTCCTCCTCCGTTGGACGAATATGTCAAATTCCTGCCGGGAGGCCAAACGTACCTGCCGATTGTATTCTACAATGATTATTGGAACATGCTAAGAGAATATCAACCCATAAATGAGACTACCCCTGTATTGGATCTGAATCTGTGCTATCAACCGCTGTCTCTCTTCAAGTGGCAACTTTACGCAGCTCAAACTATGCGTAATAAATGGACGAATAACATGTTCGGAGAGGCATTAGCTGGAGGCACCGAATCGGACGAAGATCAAGATTCCCTCAAGGAAACCCTGTTGGAGACTAATCCCTACCTTTTGGGTCTGACGATTGCGATTTCCATTTTGCATAGTATTTTCGAATTGCTTGCATTTAAGAACGATATTCAGTTCTGGAAGGATAGGAAATCTCTGGAAGGACTTTCCGTACGATCCGTTTTCTTCAATGTGTTCCAGTCGTTGATCGTGCTCCTGTACGTTTTGGACAATGAAACGAATTTCATGATCAAGGTCAGCTGCTTCATAGGTTTGGGTATCGAAATTTGGAAGATCCAGAAAGTTGTGAACATCAACATCAACAAGGAGAACCTAATGTTCGGATTCCTCCCTCGCATCAGCTTCTCAGACAAAGGCTCTTATGTTGATTCTAGCACCAGGCAGTATGATAATATGGCCTTCAAATATCTGGGATGGGCTTGCTTCCCACTGCTGATTGCCTACGGCATCTATTCCGTCATCTACCAGGAGCACAAAGGATGGTATTCCTTCATCCTGAATATGCTTTACGGTTATCTACTGACATTCGGTTTCATCATGATGACGCCTCAGCTGTTTATCAACTACAAAATGAAGTCGGTAGCCCATTTACCGTGGCGAATGATGACCTACAAATTTTTGAATACATTCATCGATGATATCTTCGCATTTGTTATCAAAATGCCTACTATGTATAGGATCGGATGTTTCCGAGATGGTAAGTGAACCCACCGTTATGCTTCTTATCAGCAAAGCATGACTCATTGATCATAAACTAATCTCGGTATCACTTGTTTCCCTTCCTCAGACATCGTCTTCTTCATCTTCCTTTACCAACGTTGGATCTACAAGGTCGACTCGAAGCGCATCAACGAGTTTGGTTTCTCGGCAGAGATGCTCGAAGAGCAGCAAGCCAAAAACAACCAAACGAATGCCCTTACCGACGGTGGATCCGAGTCAAAGGCGGCAGGTGACTCGATTCCGGCTCCAGCCGCTGTTAGTAGCGGGACTTCGTCGGATGAATCCAAGAGCCAACCATCATCACCAAACGCCGGAGCTAAAAAGCGAAAGAATAAGAAATCTTCACCCAAAGCAACTGCCAAGTCGGCTAACGAGAAGAAGGACGATTAAGTATAGTCTTCTAGCGCTCATTTTTGTCTTTGTTTCACGTTAAGTTATTATTACACCACATTTTCCGGCAATGTCGAGACCAGGGCTCGGCGAGCTTTTTTTGTGTAGGCAATAAGGCAAGTGGTGATACTGATTCGTCTAATGATCAAAACTTATAAAATGCAATGTTTGGCAGCGATTTCCGTTAGGTAGTTGCCCAGAAATTTAAAGCCCAGTTGAACTGCTGCGGCAGTAATGTTTTAGCTTTTTGAACTAATATAACAACCGTTTAGTAGGACCCCACACAAAAGCATGTCTCTAAGTAAATATGCTCTATGTAAAGAAGACCATAGATTGAAAATTATGAAGGAACACAAAATATAAGTAAGACTCATCGGACGACGACTATTTATCCACTGTGTAGTTAAAAATGTAGCACTGTGTAGTATTGTAAAACTCAACTCCGGGATACGAACCCAATATGAATGAAGATAATAAAGATAATGTATTCAAACATGACCGGTAACTGGTTTATTCAAGAAATCTAATGCGCCATTGGGACGATTGAATCGCCCAATTTCTAAACGACGACGAATAATTGGAAGGCAGCTGTGTATGGCTATTTTGCTGAAATACGTGTTCAGGGTATCCTCTAAACCATTTGTGGAATATTTCAATCATCAAGGTTATCGTTCGAGTGTGGTATTTTAGGGTTGTAGAGAAATAACGTCTCAATAATTGTTCTCATTGGGAATTTGTGTCAACCGAACATGGTAAGATTATTAAAATGCTTAGATACTTAATTGTTTTTCATTTCGTTCTGCTGTTTGTATTTTTGAACTATATGTCTTCTCATATTTTCAGCAACCGTCCCGACTGGAGGAGCAGGAGTAGCAGCAGCCTCTATTATTCATTCCTCGCGTAATTTCGCACAAGAAATTTTAGAGAAATCCGTACTAAGATAACCTACAAATGAACTGGATATTTTTTAATCAATTTACCTTAAAATGTTTCACAACCAGAAAGCACAACATGGGTTACCGAACTCCACAAATGTTTTCGGTAACAGTTACCGATCCTCCGGTAAAATTTGCCAGTTTGTTCATCGTTTCTTGCAGTTTCGTTTATCGAGCACTAAGAAGTTGAAACTTACCGGCTGCGGCGATATTTTTTAAGTGTGCACTTGGCATAGTGCCGTTAGGCACAAATGTAGGAAAACGCTTCTTAACTCTTTCCCGTTCATGGATACTTTGGAGCATTATGCCTTTTTGACAATGTGTGCTATAACATTCTCAAATTACAATCGATTTTTGAAAAAAAATATATGAAAACATAGTCTGTACTAGTTCTTCTATTATCGGAAAAAAATCCAGGCCAATATCTCAAGACACTGCAGAGATACTGATTTTTAAAATTGGTTATGCCAAAGCACTCTGGGTTAAGCCGATAACAAGTTCTTTGGCCTTCTATTTTTCGTGCATGGGCTATACTGCCGCTCTTCGCATGTCGGTCCCATGGCAAAAATCAGCAAGCCGAGAAAATCGCATTTTTAGCTTGATTCGTACCATTGCTTCTTATGTGATGAGACAACCAATGTGGCTGTCTTTCCAAACTTTTTCAGAACAAAGTTATTGAGTTCATGCAGTATTAAGAAAATATGAGTGATCAGCTACCATTTGCATTGTAAAACTCAGTTTTGACAAAAACTGCTATGGGACCGACATGTGAAGAGCGGCAGTATACCGAGGGCTATACTTCAATGGAATATGAAAGCATATGATCTTACCTACTTTACTTTCGCTGGTCCGACGTCCTACCTACGATTATCCAAAGAAGGGATAACAATCAATTAATATATATTGTTGTGCTGTGATGAACTAGCCAGCGGCTAAAAATCACATTAATTAGGAATTTAAAAAAATAAATTGCTGTGATAGATGGGTAGATGATTTACGCAACAAACATATGGACACTTTATTTAAAACTAATAAAGATATAAATTTATTACCGGTATGTCCTCCGGTATGCAATAACATATATTTGTGCGCGTTTATGTCAAATAGGGTACTCCCAGCGAGACTCCCAGCCTGCCTAACCTTTCTAAACTTGCTCTTTTATTTTTTTTTAGGTTCCTGTATTTGAGTTCGATAACCACCCTAATAAACGGGTACCATACACTAACAATTTCACAGATGGTACGACCATACCACATAAAGTTGAGATGATATCCCGAATTGGTGGTTAGGCTCTTCTAATGGTTATTGTTTATGCGGGCATGCTTCAAGCTGCATTTTGATTATTTCTCAAGTTATTTCTTAATCATACTGATCAAAAAGCCATCGTGAGAGAATGCTGGTCCAAAATAAAAATTAATATGAATTATAACACACACATTCCCTAATAAAAATTGTATGGTTAATTTGCTTAACGACGTGTTCTGGGTATCATCCAAACCATTTGTGGAATAGTTCAATGATTTGGGTTATCGTTCGTGTATGGTTATTTTTTATTAGGGTTGACTGTTCATAAATTCGTTCGGGCCTTTATTCTCAGTGTGAGACTGAATATCGGCCTGAACAGCTGATTGGATGATGCACCACCCAAATGCTGCTCTGTTCATTATTGACATCATGCAACATCACACACCCACACACTGACACGCCACGCGAATCAAAATCAAAAGAGGAAAGGGAGGAAAAGCGATTGATGATTGGTCAGATCAGCACAAGAAGTGGAAACGTAAACATTTTGGTGAAAATTTTACGATCTCTCGGGTGAAAATTGTCCGTTTTTCCTGTTTTATTCGTGCGGAATGTTCGCCTGACCGTACAGCTGCCGGGAGAAAATGTACTCGGAGTGGGCTTCGCTGGTGCCGACGATTACGGAAAACATCACCAATGCCCAATCGCAAAGTGTTCTGGGGAAATTCGGAATCGTGGGTGGGCGTGATGTGGCAGCCGTCGTCGTGAAACAGTTAGCTGGCAATCTGGGCATTACGAATGCGGCCGAGCCGAGTACACTGGTAGCGGATCAGGAGGTAAGTTCGGGTAGCATTTTTTTTTGGGATTGGTTCAGATGAATTAAAATGAATCAATCAAAAATAGGTTCAATGGTGCATGGATGTAATTTGTCACGGACTTTCCCTTCCGCTGTCTGAGCACGATATCATAAAAGATTGTGTCAACATCTACTGCGAGTGGCTGACGGCTCTGCTGGCGAATCCTAAAATCAGTGTTCCGAAGCCAATTTGCGATGATCCGAATACCTACGTCCGGCGGATCATCAAGCATCTTTATAATCTGTTCGTCCCCAGACCAGGAGAAGGTATCGTGAATTTGAATGAAGTCTACTATTTATTGCTAGATAATATTTAATATGCACTTGTTTTGTTTTTTTTTCCGCTTACATGCACCTCTTTCGTTTCTACTAATCATTACTACTTCGCGTTGCAAAATGGTTTGATACTGATATCGTTTTATTTTCCTCACGCTCTGCCAGACTGGCCTTTTGTATATCAAGAGGATTTAGGTGATGACCTATTATTTGCATGGTTTTGGGTTGCTTTGTAAAATTAATGTATATTTTCGGAACCATTCTTTTCCAGGAACGGATACCATCAACCGCCAGGCAGTGTTCTGTCACCGGGTGCTCCGAACTCTGCAGGATACTGCCCAAAATTCGCAAATCCTGACGGTAGAAACATGGGAAGCATTGCTGCTTTTTCTGTTGGCAATCAACGAAATCCTGCTGGCTCCACCAATCGTCAAGGATGACGTGGGCGATCAACTGTGCGAACGTGTCCTATCGGTGTTGTTTGAGGTGTGGCTGCTGGCATGCAGCCGATGCTTCCCGTCCCCGTCGTTGTGGAAAACCTTCCAGGAATCTTGCGCTGGCTGGCGTCATCGGATTGCACTCGTGGAACAGTGGAACCGGGTAAATCTGGTTTTGACTGCCAAACTGCTGGAATTCACCTACGGGCCTGCATTTCCGGAAATGAAAATTAGTAATGATAATACATAATTGAGCCCATGTAGCTGAAAGTGTGCTTTATGTTTATCATTTCTGTTTCCAGTTGAAGAAGACAGTAACCTCATCCCAGTTGGTATGACTAACGATGGCATTGCCCAGTCTTGGATTCGGTTTCTGAAGATTCTAGGAGCTCCTACAGACCTCTGCTGCCCGCAGGTTGTCAGTCGTACTTCACAGTTTATTCAAGCGGTTCTGCTGAATGCAGATGGAATCGAACCACACTATCATCCTTGTTTGTTGCAGCTACCGCAGATTTTTTTAAAAACAATGAAAGGAATTGCCGGGTTGGTGGACGCTTTCTTGGGTAAGTTACCGATGCTTAAAAAAGGAATAATAGACAAATCGAATTCATTTCATAATCGCAACACTGCTGTCAAATTTTTGAATCTGAAAATAGGCATAGCTCAATACAGACAGGACGATGCAAACATCCTGGAACATATAAATCAGCTGCATTTCTACAGTGCTAGTGGCGGCGGCGGTGGTGGTGGTGGAAACACAACCCCAAATATAAATTTCAGGCATTCCGGCGGTGAAATCAAACAAAGTCCATCAATTCGTGCGAGCGGAGGTCTGGGGGGATTGGGATTGGGAGCAGCCTTGGGCGTAGCGGGAAGTGCAACCTGCACTCATACCAGTGTTGGCGGTGGTAGTAATAATCATAGCACTAGTCAAACCGATGGAAACACAAGCTCCGGAAATGTGGGCGTTAGTGTGATAAGCAATTTCATGAGTAGCGTTTCACACGATGGATCTCAGTTCGGAGGGGTCGGTAGCGGAGATGGAGCACCGAATTCACCAACACCTCCACTACAGAGAAGACTGGCCAAGAGTTTCAGCGTTGCACCGTCGATTTCCGCCCATGCCGTAATTTCGATGGCCCACTCAAAGGGTGCGCATTTCACATATTCCTGAGTCATTTGTGTTTTGCTTGATCTGTGTGTTGTTGAAATTTGAATGCTACCTACCTACCTTTATGATTTGAACTTTTCGTTTCTATAATTATCTAGATGTCACCTCTCCAGTAGACAGTCGATTAACTCACTTTATACCTATTTTTTATGATGACGAATTACCGAATAAGTTTATGAGCACATCGTCAATAATTGCATCTACTTGATGAAAAATTCCTTTCGTGAAATTAATTGTTTGTTTAAATTTACTAGGTCTTACCAAGAGCTCATTCAGTGGATTGACCAGTAGCCGAACATTAGCCAATCAAGGCAATCTAATTCCCCAATCGGCGTCGTTGCCTTCTTCCAATTTTTCCTGTAAATATCCTATTTGAGCAAGATAGAAGGTTTAAAAATCTAAATTTTCCTAATCTTTACAGCCATGTTGTCGCTGTGTCAGGAAAATCGTTATCCGTTGGCAACCAACCGCCCACGCTGTAACAGTATTCTGCATCTCTTCGGCGAGTGGCTCTTCGATGCGGCTCACATTGGGGGTGAAACATGGATTCAGAACATGAAAAGTGAGTTCGCTGTTCCTCAGGATGTTTGCATTTTTTTTATACAAGAATATTATGAATTCATTGCAGAAAAATCCGTCGAAGCAAAGCGCCGTCCATCTTCGATGATTATGGACAACCGCAAGGGAAGTCTCTCGCAACCTCCGTCCTTGTCGGAGATGAGCGACGTTCCACCGGGTCTCACTATCGACAAGTACGAATCCGGTAAGGCAGAAGCTGTGGGAGCGCTGTGTCGAATATTTTGCGCCAAAAAAACCGGCGAGGAAATCCTTCCGGTCTATCTCGCCCGTTTCTATATGGCCCTTCAGCAAGGACTGAAGCTGAACGATACGAAAGAGTGCGAGGAAACGTTGGCTAGCGTTCTGTACAATTCATCCGATTTGTTCCGAATCGACTTGGAGGGCATTCAGGTTCTGCTTCCGTCGTTTATTGCCGCACTGGAATTGATTTTACCGGAAAAGGAATTGCGAATGAAATCCAGTGTCATTGTAAACAAGACTGAACTGAGACGAGCGGCAATCAACGTGCTGTTGTCCATGCTGGCGCTACCGCTGCATTTCCAAACTCTTCCGATAAGGGACATCATCGCTGGACCAGCCGATAAGTAAGTTTGGATCTTTATTTTAATCCTGAAGCTTAATTTTGACCACTACCTTCTAGGATGATAACTTTCATCCAACTGAAACCCCGTTTGATCAACATCTTGATGAATGCCCTGCAAGTCGAGAATGACCCGCAGAATACGCACATGCTGCTAGGTGGGCTCCATCTCTGCGTACAGGATTCCGGGAGCTTCGAAGAGATGGAACTAGGTCCGGATGTGCTGCACACTTCTCAGCATTCCAACGATGCCAATTTGCTGAGCTCAGGTTTGATATTAGTTTATGCAAATTTTCGGCTTGAATTCCTTACGAAATATGAAATTTTCAAACACAGTTATACTTTGTGCTAGACAACGCTTAAACTTCATTTATACCTACATATAAACACAGATTTGTCTACAAACGCTTCATTTCCACTTAACGCCAGGCTATTTTCAGTTCCGATAATTTTGATTTCGTTTCTTTTTCTTTGAATTACATTTGAACCGTTCAACCGAATCATCGAAATCCAATTGGACTCCCGCACCCTGTCCGAAAACCTGGCGCGCTGCTATCTGCCCCATTACAAACCCCACACTGCTCAACCCATCTCAATCAATCAATCAATTGATCAAAACGACAAAAAAAAAAAACAAAATATCGCATCCCCATCCATCTCTTGTAGCCTGCTCGGAGAAGAGTACGTACTCGATCAATAGCGCCAATTCCAGCATCGGAGGCAACAGTACCGCAACGCTTAGCAATGAGCCCTCTAGTTTGCCGGCTTTCGATGATTTCTCATCCGACATTTTTCATGATTTAGAATTGAGTTCGTCCGCTGTTTATGGTAAAGTTTCATTATTTTTTATGTTAGTTGTTTTCCGTAGTTGTTTAAGTTGTTTAGATATTATAGAGTTGGCTAGTTGGCGAATATCAGCGGAGTTGATTAGTTTCGTTCATTGTTCTGGAAAATTATTAATGTACTGTTGTATGATTTGAGATCGCTACTTAGTATTAGTTTTGCACTGCTCTTTATTCGCTAAATAGTTCTTTATAGTTATTGTATTGGTGACAAAATTCGACCATAAAGTTTTTGTTCAATCATTTCAGTTATTTACCGCCATAAATCATTAAACTATGTCCATTAAGCATTTTATCCATTTTAATGAAATAATTTTATCTGATCCGAATCAAAGGTAAGTTTGTAAAAAACACTCGACAGCGAAGTGACTAGATAAATTTAATTCAAATGTTGGAAAGAGATGTATCATTGTTTCTTAAAGATGATTTTGGCCTAAAAGCTGCTTCGTCTCTGACGTTTTTTTTTTATTCTAAATTTATCTTCGATCTCCTTACAGAGTCAGTGTGATCAGTATTTTTTATTCAGATAATTTATAACTTAGATGTTTGCTTCTAACAGATTTCTATGCATCCTCCGGGAATTTTAAATTACTGCTGGGACGCCTTTAGGGTTGATATGAACAAATCCGGGAATATTATTTGTGGAAATACGGGATATCAAGAGACGTTGAATACGTGGGACATCAGTCCAAAGCACACACACACCGTCACATCTAGTCACTTTGCTTAATACGCTTTAGTTTTGTAAGTTCTAATTTTGTCACCAATCTATCGACGTTCAGCTACTATGTACCATTAGAAGGTGTAAGTTACTCACGAAACTACGAATGAAAACTTACCGACATTCTCTATACCATCAGATAGTGGACATGCTCTCTTTGTCCGAGCAACGTACTTGGTGTGTCACCGTTTGATTTCCTCATGGAAAACGGATCTGAACGTATCACTGGCGGCACTGGAGTTGCTTTCCGGTTTAGCAGCTATGCATATCAAAGATTCCGGTAAGCCCACTTCAAATGACATTTTCCTCCTATTATGCTCTCGTCATGAAATGAGACACTGCTTTTATAGATGCCCTGGAGTGCAAACGAGCCGTCAAATGGATTTGCGATTACATCTGCTATCAGTGTTCTCGGCCACCCCCGGCGCACAGCAAGGACCTTCACAGTACCATCGTGGCCGCTTTTCAGTGCACCTCTACTTGGTTGATGTATCATCCGTACCTGCTTCAGGACAAGGAATGCCTTACCACTGTACTGGAGGTGGTTGAGTTAGGAATTTCTGGTTCCAAGAGCGTGGGAAAACCAGGAGAACCGGTTAAGCATAAGGATGAGAAAGAGCTGAAACCTGCTTCTATGCGTGTGCGTGATGCGGCCGAGAACTTGCTGACGCTGATTCTGGAGCAGATCGATTACTTTCCCAATGAGTGTGGAAAGCAATCGCTATCGTCCCTGTTGGATGAGGTAGTCCTCGCGAAGCACTCCAATACGAATGAGGAAGATACGTCGGAGATCAATCAAGAACAAGCGATCAGAAAGTTCAAGTATTTTGTCACTGAGAATTCCACCATTTTGGCTTTGTTCGAAGAACCGCTTGGCAATGACCAAGATCCACAACCCACGGTTACTAGTAAGTTTCGCCTTTATTTCCCTACCAAAAATCTTCCTCAATTGATTCCCATTTCTCCTAGTTTTGATCCGTGGTCCCTTTGGACGCCACGCATGGACCATGCAGCTGCGGCATCTATCTCGAAGCAAATCCGGTACAAAATACCATGCACCAAACCCTGGTCGTCCGGTTCCAATGAACGACATCATGATCCGTCAGGAAGTAGAATATAAGTACTTCCCCGATTCGGTAGATCGCATTCAACCGTGCGTAGTCGACTATTCCATCCCTACTCTCGACACAACGGAGCAAAAGATTGGCAATCAATCAACAAAGCACCTGGCACGCTTGCTCGAAGATCAGCTGGTCTACGAGAAGCTTTCGTGGGCTCAAACTGAGTGTTCGGTAGATGGTTTGGGTCATGCCCAGGAAGCTACCGCCCCAAATGTATGTCACGAATTTCAAGCTGCGCGCCTTTTCCTCGCTCACTTTGGCTTTCTCTCGATTGGTCAAAATATCAATGGACAGAAACTGTTAACTGCATTGGATACTTCCAAGCCAGAGTTCTGTCATGACCTGAAAATGCTGGATACGATGAGTCCTCGTACGTGCGACACAATTCACGTTTTCTACGTCAAGGCCGGCCAATCGTCTGAGTCGGATATCATAGGCAATATGGACCCGGAGAATCTCGCTAACATTGATGTGCATTTCTTGAATGTTCTGTACACGCTCGGATGGTCAGTTAACGTAGAGGAGCATGCTGGATGGACTGGATTTATCAGCTCCAGCTGGAAGATTCCAAAAGATTACAAAGATCAACGGAAGTCGCAATCGTTCAACACTTCCAACGTTGAGGATCTTCAACTGAACGGTGAGAAGAAAGTTCTATACTGGGCTGACGTTGCATCGGAAATCGCGATTGTCGTCCCGAACCGTAGCAACAAAAGTGAAGTCTATTTGGAAGACACCACGGATGGCAATCCGACGACTACGTACGAACGTAGTGTAAGCGAAATCCAAACTTCGAAAGCAGCCTCCAGCAAATCCCGTCAGTTTTCCCTGGATAACGAACCAGCTCGATTGGGATCGATGAGCAGCAGATCGGCCGATCCGATCCCACCGGTGCGAAGACGGACGGGTGCTTCCAAACCTACCACCTTGTACACCGCACCGACAGCGAAAATTCTACTCGTATGGCTGGAGAGCTACGAAGATCATCTAACATTCCCGATCGATGATTTACTGCACTACACGCGAGCTGGTTACTCGACGGTGCAAGGACCGGTTGCCCCCATAAATTCAAATGAATGTCACATCATATTTTTGCATGCTCTGAATTCCGGATTGCTACGGGTCAAATTGCATGGACCAATCGGAAGGATGAACTTTGCCATTCCCCTTATCGATGGAATGGTGGTCAGCAAAAGGGTGATTGGATCGTTGATCCGTCAAACGGCTTACAATATGGCTAAGAGGAGGCGGTTGGATAATGATTCGTAAGTTTTTTTTGAACATTTGGTTGTGCAAAACTGATAGATAAATTGCATATTTACAGATATCAACCACCGCACGTTCGGAGGCGCATCAAGGTTCAGGAAATGATGCAAAAATACAAAAAGGATATGACTGAACCGGAGCTGTTGGCGGATCTTTTTAAACCTTCTATCTGAAAAGCGGCTCTAGCATGAGTTAACTGTTACTGGAAAAAAAGTATTATTTTTGTCTTAATGTCCATGTCTAGCAACAATGTAATTGTTTCGTGTTTGTCCATTAGTGTATGTTTTTAACGAAAAAAGCATTTTTCTTTTAATTTATTTAACCCCAGCAAATAAAATATAACGTTGATATCGTGTACACTCCAATTGCATGAGAAGAATTGCTTATTTATTTCATTGGATGAAGATTTTCCATACATAAAATAAGTAAAAATTGTGTGAAGGAATGGAGCATATGGAATATGTGACGGAATGCAGGATTTGGGTGGATGTCATTATTACGCACATGGAATAATATATTTACTATTAAGAATAAAAGCTACCGCTATAATTCCACACGAATGTGAACTTTTCTTCCAACGAAAGAAAACCCCCTCGGCAAGCATTAATTATTTCTTATATGTTGTACCATCCGATATTCTTAAACTTAAAGGGTTATAATTTTGATGCAATAAACGTGGAAAAAATAGCTTAGCTTAGACTGACTGCACATATTAATGGTTGCGACTACGATAGTGCTGTGACGATATCGATAAGTCCGGGTCTAAATTATCAATACGATAACCAATATTTAAAAATCCAATATCAACCGATACCAATTTGATGTAAATAATCAATGTAAATAATTGACGGCAATCGAATGTGCAGGAGGGCAGCTTCCACACCTGGGTAGAATATCGCATCCATTCAACGCACATGGGCCGGGAGCAACGGCTTTACTTTCCTTCCAGTGGAAGACGTGACCAGAGATTTTTATGCCTCAGAAAAATCCCACCGACCGACCCAGATCCATTGGGGGTGAGATAGCAGTCACGCTTACAATTACACCACCGGCGCCGGCCGTTTCCATGTTTGTTCAAGGTGGCTCTGAATCTTCTGTCAAATATTACAACCTCGGTCCCTTGGCATGCTTGGCATGCACAGTTGTACACCACATCTGCTCATTTGTTAATAAGTTTTCACTCAGTTGTTGACATTTGCTTTTCTTTAAAGTAATTGATAGATTAGGATCATAGATTACTATAGATATGCAAAGAGCAGGTAAATCTTAACATTTTTTTTCTCTGTTCGGGACCTAACACTACTGCGACCAGTAAATTGATCTATTGTAGTATATCCCGTGTCCTTAGTTTAGTGAATGTCGTATTACTCGTTCACTATTGAGAAATGATGAAGTATTCGATTTTTTTTACAGTTGCCACTCTTGCATTTATCGCAAGGATCCGACTCTAATTGAAAGGTCCCGCTATTTATACCCTTCGGAGTGCTGAAACGCCCTCCAAAGGCGCGCCCCTTTGTCAGTCAAAATTGGATTCCATAGCAACAAAATTAAGGTATGACACCGATAATGACGATGCATGTCTAGTCTAGTCTAGTCTTAACCACTTCAAACTAGGGAACAACGAATAGAAGATTAGGAATCACATAGATGAAGACAACTAACTCATTTTTTTTCCTTGTTTCAAGATCATCCTCGGTAGACAAAGCCGAGTCTTGTCACTATCAACAAGGCATAAAAAGAAACAAGGACTAAGATGCGTAACTTGGATTAATGAAAATCCTGTTCCCCTAGTTTGAAGTAGTCAGAACTAGGAATCGGTGGTAGATCTTACATCCCGTAACGTACCACGAAAAGGTGATCTACCCACGTTACGGGGCAATCTTAACATTTGAATCAACACCAATGAATTTTTACACTTAAAGTCCAAGATGTGCAGTGAGCATTTCTCACTTGATTTTTACAACACCAAAACAAATACAGTTCATTACTGAAATATAGTTTTTCTTACGTACCTATAACAAGCTTAAACTTTATTCTATCTACTGCTTCAAATAGAACTATGTTTTGTCCACTTTGTGCAAGTTATTAGCAAAACTGTGTATGCCAAGCATGTCCCTTGGGAGCGTTTGGTTTTGAAATTTTAAGCGAAGTAGCCTCAAAGAGCGAACAGAACTTTTGGTTTTCAAATGCATTATGATGTTGGAAGGTAATAAAATATATTTAATGAATTTTCCATTGAATATTGCATATCGGACCCGATATCGATACTCAAAATCCGATATCGAAATGAGATCGATATTTTCAGAGACCGATACCGATATTATCGATAAATACGACCTCGTCACAGTACTGTGTTACTGTGAGTGATCAGAATTAGTGAAATTGCACAATGAATAAATTAATGACCGTCTATTCTCAAAGTACAAGTTTCAGTGACTCCATATTTTAAAGATAAATAACGGCACCGGCCACGTCCTTGCAATCAGGTATGAGTAGGGTTAGGAATATTATAGCGACCTTTGTTGTTTTGGAGACCGTTTTTACCTCTGCGTCCCAACAAAAGTCACAGCCAGGCTTGCTTCCACTCAATTGCTATAAAAAGATGATTTTTGGAATTTTGAAATCATTAGATATTATAATGATATTTTGTACTTGCTAAACACAAGAATAGGTTAAAAGGCAAGTGTTTGACTCATAAAACCTGTAAAATTCGCTTTCAGGTAGTAACAATCAGCGATTTTACGACTCGCGAGCGCTCACTCTGAGTGAACGTTCACGAATCATAAAATCGCTGATTATGACATGTTCCGTCTCCGCCGAAAGTGAACCAACCATCTTGACAATCGCCGCTGACGAACAGCGACAAACAACACTAACCAATCAGCGACGTCCATATCACCATGCGCAGACAGCGCGCTCCTATAAAAGTGGCACCCATTAGGCAAACTGAATTCAGTTACCTTTTGACCGGCCACGAGTAAGCATCAGCAGCAGAAGAAAGCAAACCTTTGTAAAGAAAAGCAGTAGAGAATAAAAGTAGTTACTAGCGTAGCCGTCGCCGTTTAAATAATTACCCAGCACACATCCCTGGTTCGGAGCAAGTGTTGAACCCCACCCCCCAGCTCTTTTCAGAGCTCAAAGAGTTTGATTTAGATCGACGCTTGCCTCCTCCACCAATCATTGCCGATACAGTCCGCTGCCGAAAGGGAAGCCTTCCCAGACCGAACATGACACTTTGAAAGTGAAATTGACAAATTTCATGGGTCAAACACATACTTCCCAACAAACAATTTTAGCTGCAGATTAGCTTATACAGCCAAAATTTGCCTTATGCAGCTAATTTTTGCCTGTATAAGCTAAGCTGCAGCTAAAATTGTTTGTTGGGTTCACAACCTCTTCTTTTAACTTACAAGTACAACATATCATAAGAACATCAAAAGATGTCATAATGCCGAAAAACTTTTTTTTATAGCAAGTGAGTGGAAGCAACCCTGGTCACAGCAAAGGAGATTTTATTCATCGGTTGAGATCGTTGGATCAGAATTAACCTTGATGAGTAATGCGATCGTAGAATAATATTTGCGATCTTTTGATGAGCGAATGATGCAATCATATCAACTCAGTAATGTAAAGTTAGTGGGGCCGGTGGTTTAGTGGTAAGTGTGATTACCTCTCATCCCAGCAGGCCTGGGTTCAATCCCAGTCGGCGCCGCCGGGATCTCTGAGGTAAAGCCGTTGGTCCCCGGTTGGTGAGTTGTGATGGGTCGATAGGTAGAGTCCAGGTGTGGGAGCTGCCTCCCTGGCGTCGGTAGCATTGGTGCTCAGCATTTCTTTTTCTTTTATCAGTCAGTAATTGCTTCAATAAAATGCTAATAACAGTTCAGGATCAACTCGAATCGACGTTCCTTCTTGGACAAAGTTTTTGGAGGGAAGGGGAGGGTCATGTTTTGGTCACCATAATGGCTTCTAAGGTTGGAAAAAGGCGATTTGTTTGTTTAAACTGCAAATTTAATTAGAAAAATCTTAACAAATTCCAGTACAATCAGCAAAACAGTGTATATATTTTGAAAGCTCTTCTCTCTTTTTTTTTCAAACCATTTGAAAAATCAAAAATCGGTTGAAAATGGTTGAGATACTCATGGTAGTATGCGGTCACTTACCCAAAACTTATTTTATAACAATAACTTTAAATTTTGGGGGTGTTAGAACAATTTCAAATGTGATTTCATGGTGTGCTCGACTAGACTAACAACCTACAATAGGTCACTTGGAAAATTCCTTTTTTCGTGTAACACCGTGTACTTTAGCATATAAAAAAATTGGAGAATCTCAGAATTTTTAAATGTTTCTTGTTTACATTTCAATCTTTTGAAAGGCAAACCAAATGTTGGACCAAATGTTATAAAACGCGAACTTGAATTTGAAAATTTATTTTAAAAACAATTAGATGAACGGAATAATACCAACAATCAATACGAAACTAACGATTTTAAATTGGCTCACTACTTGACTAGCCTATTGGTCCCAAGCAAATCGACTAACGTACCTCATTCTAGTATAAATTCCAGTACTTCACGATGTTTGTTTTGATTCGCTATGAAAGTTTGACAAATAAAATGAGGGGTTAGTGGATTTTCCTATGTTTCGAGGGGTGAATCGATTAGCTTGGGACCGAAGATAGTACCAGAGCTGAGCCAAAAAGTTGAGTTCTCTTCCTCGGGACCTTCTGGTCTTAGAGTTACCTCTATGATAATACTGGGATCTCGAACTGAGAATTTTTTTTTGAAGATTACATGATTACAAAATCTCAGGATTCATTTTAGGATTCTGACACTTTGAAGAATTGTGTAAAGAATTTGAAACAAAATGCAAAATTAATTTTGGGAACAATTGTAGAGTAATTTTATAGATAATTTTGTAGGAATTTTACCAGAAGTTTCAGGTTATTTTGAGAAGAAAATCAAGAAAATTGCTAGAAGAACTAAAGGTAAATTCCATAGTAGGGGAAATGCAGATAATGTCGACCTAAGTGTCCCTAATTTGGGCCATACATAAATTCAGCAATCGACTAAATTTTCAATAGCAACCAAAAATATCCATTAGTAACGTCTCAATAACGCGTTCATCTAGATAAAATTGATAAAAAGCAGATTTTTAGCGATGGGCCCAATCTTAGATCCATAGGCCAACATAAGAGACATTTCTCCTAGTTTTGAAGATGAGGATTGAGAGGAGAATTTCAGCGGAATCTTAAGGAAATTTGAAGGATTTTCAGGGAAAATTCTATAAGGGAATTCGGAGCTGAATTCAAAGTTAATTAACCCTATGACAAATTCAATGACCGCTACAACCCTGACATTGATCGAATTATAGTTGTAAATAGTTATCGATGCAACACTACACCCAACCGGTGGATGTAAGATTCGCTTACAATTACGTGGGATTCATCATCAGAGGATGTAAGTGGAGACCGCATGAACCGAGGATGCAATATACCTAGCTGCGGTCC